CAGGACAATTATCTTTTCTGCCCTGACCCAGAGGGACATCAGGTGCACAGGGGTTGCAGAAACAAGAGGAGATGTAGCTAATGAGTGGAGAGAGGGAACTATAAATTCACTGTTTCCCAGAGTTTTGCTGTTGACTGTTTCCTCCATGCAGGACTAATTGACAATGGGGGAAGGTTAAAGTTTAGAGCCCAGAACTCAGTATCCAAAATTAGGAAAAAGGAAGAAGTTCTGTCAATCTCCAGAACAGCAGAGTGGCTCCAGTTCACAGGAACTCATTATATATTTTATGAATAAATAGAAAAGTTATTTAAGCCTCCAAACAACCAGCAATGATGAGAAGGAGATGTTAATTTCCTCATGAGATCAGTACCTATGTTTTACATGTACTGAACTATTCCACGGTACCCAACAACTATGTAAAATTATTACATGTTATTCAAAAATTATAAAAATTGCTTAAGGCAATAGATATACTAACTATCCTAATTTGACAAATACACCATATATATGTATATATTACACACACCTATATATTGCCGCAGTCTTGGCTGGGCACAGAATCACCGAGACACTCACACCTTGTAGATTCAAACAGCAATTCTTTATTCCCGAACTCACATCGGCCCTGTACAAACACGTTCTGGGGAAATCCAAGTTCTGCCGCCCAATTCACGTCCCAAAATACTTTCTGAATTCCACGAGAACTCAAGGGGAACTCAGGCAGCAGGATACACCCTATTCCCAGCAGGAATAACCTTAAACCTGGAACTTCCCTAAACCCAAATTGTTCTTAAACCCGGATACTTCCTAAAACCTGCAGGATACACCCTAAACCTGGATCCACCCTGGTCCTTGAGCAGGGTCACCTTTCTCAAACACACTTGCAATGTCACAGCGAATTTCCAAGGCAAGTCCATTTAACATGGGGTACGCTGGCAAGGAAATTTCGATGCATCATTCCTACTTGGCAATGGCCCTCAGCAATATATAATTATCATATCTTACCTCATAAATTGGTACAACGATCATATTTTTTAAATAAAACATATTTTAAATTTTACATCAGAAACATTGTTACAAAATAAAAAGCGAATGAAAAACTGGGGTAAATATGTAATATGTGGTATGTTTTGGAAATCTGCCTCATCATAGCAACCATTTTCTATCTATATGTAGCTGAGAACATGATATAAGCTTCACATATGCAAAATAAACTTTATTTTAAAAATAAAATTAAATCCAAAATATCAAACAGGTAGACACATATTGTTTCAAACCAATTATAACAAAAGACAACAAAATGACCCCAGTGTGTGAACCACAGATTTAGAAGAACAAATGTGAGTGACGTATAAACATGAAAATGTGCGCCAGCTCATGAACGTACAAAGAAAATCACATTGAAATGTCAAAGCAAGCTGTGGAAACCTTACCTTGGTGTCTGCTATATTCCTAAGACTGCAGCACCCAGAGACAGAGCCCTTCTTTTGAAGACAGAATCCCAGAAGCAGGAGTTTGTATCAGAAGCTTCTACTTCCACTGAGCTTTACCACAATCATAAAGATTCTCTAGAGCCGACCTAACTTCGGGCCTGAGAGCGTGGCCTGGTTTACCCAGCTGTGGGTGGGAGCCTCTTCATCCTATCTGTGACCTCGAGCTTGTTGGCAAGTTACCAGAATCCTAGTCACTCCTTCCTCATGAAGGAGTGACTAGGACCGTTCAGAGACCATGAGTATAAGATGGTTCAGAGTGCTAGCAAATACTGAGTTTAAAATGTTTAATGGCATGTAATAATTGCATGTGCTAATGTGTTCTATGTCAGCCCAGGCACAGAGCATGCACTGATCAAATCAGGGTAATGAGCATTGCCATTCCACATCATTTCTTTATGCTTGTAGTCCTTAAACAACTCCCAGCTGGATCCTCATGATTTATCAAATAAAACCCTATCTCATCTATCTCCCTGGATTGTGCTTCCCGTTATCCAATCTACCATCTTCCTTGCCAACATTCCCATCCTCTGGGTATCTCTATTATAATTCAACACAGCTGTAGCTTAGATTCCATGGGGAAGAAAATACTATGGAATTTCTGTGTGATTTCAAGGGACATCATACCCAAATCCTTCCATTTTTCTGCAAATACAGAATTCCAGTTTTCCTCATGACTAGTATCCCACTGTATCTGTGTACACCATGATTTTCTTATCCCCCCATCCACTGTTGGGAACCAAGGCTGGTTCCACACATGAACAAGGGGAAGTGTCCTGATAAAATGGTGGGGCCATTGTCTCTTCTCTGTTTTGATTTCATTTTCTCCATGTTGCTGTTACCTTCAAGGATGAGTGTCACTGGGTCTGGAATCTTTTTCTATTTCAAAGTCTCTTCTTAATTCATTTATACTTTTCCAATTAAGACTCTATATTCAACCACCCCTGTCTGAATTTACACTCCATTCAACAAAAATTCACCCAGCTTTTCAGCCCATAACTTTATGAACATTTAATAGTACAAGGAAGACCCCAAAGGAAGTCCGGAGAAAAGAGTTGCTTTGAATTTTGTATAAGCAGAAGTAGTCAAGGAGTGGATGGAGGAGGCCAGGCTCTCTGGCCCTCAGGGTCATTCACGTTTCTCTCATGGCTATTGCACTGGCCCTTCACTGAGAAACTTCCTGAGGAGTGTCCCCAGGGCAACTTTCACACCACTGACCCTCAGACTGTAGATGAAGGGACTCATCATGGGGGTGACCACGGTGCACATCACAGAGGCCTTCAGACTTGGCATGGAGGAGAGAGTGGCTGCAGAACTGAGATAGACTTCAAGGCCACTGCTACAATTTGAGCCTATGGGTCCCCCAAGGCCTCAGTGTGAAAGGTGAGTCTCCCGGATTGGTGCTGTGGGGCGGTGGTGGAAAAACTGTAAGATGTGGGTTCAAGTGTGAAGTCCCAGGTAAGTAGGGGTGTGCCTTGAAAGGGAACAGGGGACCCCTGTCACTTCCTTTTCTGTTTTCACTCCTGCCCACAAGGTGAGCCATTTTGCTCTTCCAAATGCTCCCGCCCTCAACGATGTGACCTTTGTCACAGGTGCAAAACCATGGGGCCAACCCATCAGGGACAGGAACCCCTAAAACTATGAGCCCCAATAAACCCTTATCTTTATAAGTGAATTTCCTCAGGCATTTGGTTAATGGAAAGTGAACTCATTCTGCCAGTGCCAAAGCATAAGGAGACCACCAAGAGGTGAGACCCACAAGGGAAAAGGCTTTGGTCTCTCCCCTGGAAGATGAGATTCTCAGGGTGGAGGTGAAAATCTCAAATAAGAGAAGAGAGTCTCAGTAAGAGGCGAAACACATCACGTGACTAAAACAGCACATTGGTGTTACTGCTGAGGTTGTCTGAACAGGGAAGCTCAAGACTGTGGGATTTCCAAAGTTGTGTGGAAGGTAGAATGTGTTCACTGATGTAAAAGCCGTATTTCTAGGCTATGTTTCCATCTGTGCTGCCGTCTCTCTTAACCTGTCGACAGAAGACGGGGCAATAACCGTGAAAGGCTGTAGCTCAGTGCTCCTTACTGTCCCAGGTCTGTTGATTCCATTAGCTAACTTTTTGCATTGACCTGGAAAACAAGCTTCTCGAGGTCTGCTGCAAACCTCCACGGTCCCAGCCCGTCTAGAATGACGCAGAGACATTCACACCACGGGCTGGATGCAGCCTCTTTGGTTTGATTGTTTTCATTAGCAGAATGTTCATAAGGGTCCCTGGAGGGGGAGGAGGGCTAGAGACAGCATGCCACCATGCGGGGGAGGAAAAAGAAGTCATGATCCCAAGGGGAAAAGGAAAAAGGTGGACATGCAGACTCCTCGCCATCAGCTGTATTAGATAACTACTACTTCTTTCCTGTAGAACCTTTAGAAATCTCAAGATTAGTTGTCTATTAACATTCAGGAGCGGGAAAGGACACAGAGATCCATGGGCCCTCTGCTCAGTCTCCACAATGGTAACGTCGCGATCCACCATGGATCGCACCTCAGCCAGGATGTTAACACTGACGGTGAGGAAATCAAGTCAGCTGCCCAACGGGATACCTGTGTGCCTGTGTTTCTCCTGACTCTCTTCAGCCTAAGTGCCTATCGCCTCCCCGATAAAGAAAATGGGGCAAACATACACAATGCGGTACTATTTGGCCACAAAAAGAGTGAAATCTTGCCGGGTGTGGTAGGGCATGCCTCTAATCTCAGCAGCTCAGGGGCCGAGGCGGGAGGATCGTGAGTTCAAAGCCAGCCTCAGCAACTTAGCAAGGCTCTAAGCCACACTCTATGAGACCCTGTCTTTAAATAAAATACAAAAAAAAAAGGCTGGGGGTGTCTGGCTCCATGGTTAAATGTCCCTGAGTTCAGTCCCTGATACCAAAAAAATAAATAAAAATGGAACAGTGAGCAGATGAAATAAGCCTAACAGAGAAAGACACGTGCTGCATGTTCCCCAGGATATAGGCTGAAGTCCAAAATAAATAGTCTACTTGAAACTAGAATAGCTACTGCTGAAAGTTTGGAAGGGAGTGGGTAACAGAGGCTGTATGCAAATAATGACACTGTGTGCATACGCAGTAACATGGGCACCCCAAACTGCTAGTCAAACACAAAAAGATCGAATCATTCCATCAACTCAGGGATACTGCATTCCCTTCTACAGCCACATCCACCTCCCTCCCTTCCCGGTGCCTGACCCCCAGGACCTCGCATCCATTCACATTCCTATCTCACTGTCCTGGAGAAATGCTGTTTAGAATATGAAATTACCTACTGAGAAAATGCTGGATCCAGTGCCCTGGGGTCTGATTTCCCCGACCGCAGCAGGCACTGTGGACACCGAGCTGAGCAGAGGCAGGTCCTGATCGTGAGCACGCAGCCCATGGCTAGCTAGGAACAGGCTGGGTGTGAAGCCACATTGTCAGGACGAGGGTGGAGGGAGCCACGCAGGAAGGAGACACACAGAGATGAGAAAATGTCACCACACTTTATTCCACTGTACATTACGCACATACCCTGGGTTGTCAAATGTGGGATTTTTCCCTTGGGAGTAAAACATATGTTCATTTTTAGTCCAATATTAGTAAAATCATTTGGTATAATTTATGTCATTTGGTATAATTTATGTCACTTGAAAAGAAATTATTCTAAAAAACATGTCCTTTGGGCTAAATAAGAATTTCTAAGTATTTCTGATACAAAGATGAAAATTATTTGGGGAAAGTTAGAAAGCAGCACAATGGAGAGGAGAGGACTGGGTGTCAGAGAGTGGAGAGTACAATAAAGGGACGCATGGAATGGAATTGCATGCAGAAGTTGAAATCAGGAAACAGAAACTTCAGGGATAAAATAGAAGGACCAAGTTCTGCTTCTACCTTCTGGTAAGATGCCAGTTTCTAGCTCTGAGGCTCTGAGCCCTTCTGCAATCATGGGCACTTCTTCAGTCTCAGCACAACTGTTGCTTTCACAGTTTCTCTCTCACAGAGTCTTCTCAGAGCACTCTTGATGTCCTTGTTCCTCAGACTGTAGATAAAGGGGTTGAGCATGGGGGTGACCACGCTGTACATCACGGAGGCAGTTGCAGTGGAGTGTGAGTTTTGGGCCACAGCAGAACTAAGGTACACACCCAGGCTTGTACAATAAAATAAGGAGACCACGGAGAGGTGAGATGCACAGGTGGAGAAGGCTTTATACTTGCCCTGAGCTGAAGATATTGCACGGATGGAGGAGGATATCTTGCAGTAAGAGTAAAGGATGCCAGTGAAGGGGCCACCAGCCAGCAAGACAGCAGCAAAATATATCACCACCTCATTGAGAAAGGTGTCAGAGCAGGCAAGATGGACCAGGTGATTAAGTTCACAGAAAAAGTGGGAGATTTGCAAATCTGTGCAGAAGGAGAGTCTCAACATCATTAAACCTTGTAACAAGGAATGAAGAGCACTCATGATCCAGGACACCAGAACCAGCAACCCACATCGCCGGGAGTTCATGATGACCATGTAGTGCAGGGGGTAGCAGATGGCCACATACCGGTCATAGGCCATCACAGTCAGAAGATAGATGTCCAGTCCTGCAAAGAGTATGGAAAATTGCATCTGGGTGATGCAGCCTGCGTAGGTAATAACCTTGCTCTGTGTCTGGATGTTCACTAGCATCTTTGGGACAGTGTTGGAGGTGAAGCAGATGTCCACAAAGGACAGGTTGGAGAGGAAGAAGTACATGGGTGTGTGCAGGTGGGAGTCTGAGATGGTGGCCAGGATGATGAGCAGGTTCCCCAGCACAGTGACCAGGTACATGGACAGGAAAAGGCCAAAGATGAGGGGCTGCAGTTCTGGGTCCTCTGAAAATCCCAGAAGAAGAAACTCTGTAATTTGTGTGTCATTTTCTTGACCCATTTAGTTGATGTAACTAAAAAAATGATGAGAAAGGAACACAATATGATTATGCAATAGTACCCTGACATACAGGCTATCATTTATGTTCTACAGTCAACATGCAAATTTCTGTTTCATGTGTGAATCTGCCCCCCTCTAGGGATACCCTTGCCACTATGATTGAGAATTCCTATATCACTTTTAGATTTTCCCCAGGAGTTTATTCAACATTTTGAATTTTTTTCATGCACTGGAGGAGTAAAATTTAGTTTTGATCATATTCCAGGAACTTTCTAGGTGATGAAAGTGCAAAGCCAATAAATAAAGAAATAATTTTTAAAAAATCAAATGTTCCTAAGTCTGATGAGGGAGAAATAGCTCAAGCCAATATATGAGGTAGAGGACTAATCATGTGGCATGCCATAGGGTAACATAAATTCGAAGGGAAAATAAACGCAGCTGTGAGGGAGAAAGCAGAGAGGGAATGCTCAGGCAAGACAAAAGCAGATAGGTGACACTTGCAAAGAGACCCCCAGGAAGAGGGGGAGGAAGCCACAAAAATATCTGTAGAAGTGTGCTCCAGTGCAAAGGACCCGTGGAGGGTCAGACAGAGTCAACAGGGAACCCAGGTGACAAGCAGGATGAGCAAGAGAGAGGGACCCAAGCAGGTTTCAGAAGAACAGAGTGGCCTCGGTGCTGCTCAAGACACAGGGAGACTGTCCAGACGTTGTTGTGTTCAACGACAATTTTAAGTTGTCTGCCAAGGCACTTTGTGGGTGGGAAGCACCCTGATTTTGATCTGGCCTCTGCACTTTGAGTTACCTCTTAGAATGTATTGAGTCCAGGTCCCCTTTCTGTTAATTCTCCTCTAACCCCTAAAGACACACACACACACATACACACACACACACACACACACACACACACACCACTTAAAGGTAAGCCATATGCTGGGTCTCCTGGGACCATGTTAATGCCATTCTCACCTCCAGCCACTCTGTTAGAAAGGAATGGACACCAGGAAAGCTGTTGATGCCAAATGATCTTTCTTCAAATTGATGCACTAGTGATACCCAGAAATTCCAGTTTGTGAACGTTTCATACACATGAAAACTTGGAGTTTCCTTTCAGTGTGGCCATTTTGAACCCCTGGGCATAAAGCGATACAAAACACCAGGCAGAGAGTGGCTCAGTGGTAGAGCACTTGCGTGGCGTGCAGGAGTCCCTGGGCTCAATCCCCAGGGCTGCAAAGGAAAAAAGAAAAGGAGAGAAAGAGAAAGGAAGGAATGTAAAAATCTGCTCAATAAACTGAGACGTGAAGTGGCTCTGAGCAGGAAGAAGGCTCATAACCTCTGTGGTCCCCCAGAGGTGATGGGGAGAAAACGAGTCCCCACTTCTGTCATTTCAAGTCCTGCCTGCCTTCTTGAGGACTAGCAATAAATAAAATTTAAAAAGCAAAAGATCAATAAGAGTCTCAAAAGGCAAGTGTTATATCACGTATTTTTGGCACCATGACACCTGGATAATAAGCAGATATACAAAAACCAAGGGCAAAGGGAAGAAAAATTTAATAAAAAATATATGAAGGACAAGAAAATTTGAACAAATTGATATGAAGCATTCCTGTGCCATTCGATATTGATTTGACTGACTGGAGTTTATGTTTCATTTCATTGTTTACTGACACGGGAATAGTACATATTTAATGTATAGAATATGGAATTTCAATACCTATACACTGTACAATGAACAAATCAGGATATCCATGTCCATAATTAACTCAAGTATTTTATAATTTTACTATGCTAAGATTACTGAAAACCCTCCCTTATAGGTACTTGGAATTACTCAGAGTCACGCTGCTGTGGATAGAATACCAACATTATTTACTCTATTTATCTACCTGTAACTTTGTATCCATTAGTCAACTTTGCCTCCTTCTTGTTCCCCTTTGTACCACCCTCAACTCTGGAAACTTCTCTTCTTCTCTCCACTCTGGGGGATCAATAGTTTAAGATTCTACAGTGAAAACCAACTGGCATTTGTCACTGTGGGGAAAAAGCTAGACCCAGAAAGTAACTATGGAGTCGGATTTTATGTGCACAGTGGCAGACAAGACAGGCCCCTTTCTTGATTTCTTGTGTGGTATATTTTCCGTTTTATTCATAGCCTTTCAGTTTTAAACTCTTAAGACAAAACCAACGAGCACAACTCAATCTTGTTGTGGTCTTTATCCAACAAAGAGCTCTTAAGAGGATATGTTATAAAATCTTCCACACATGAAAATTCTATCTTTTACATTGAATAACACCCTGGTGAAAGCTTATCCCTGAGAGTATTACATCATGCACACATTTCTTCCATCACATTGTCCAGGATTGAGGTGCAATACCCACAGGAACAGACGGCACCAGGTTAGTTTGCGGGTCTGTGTTCATAGTAGTATGTGAATAGGCGTTCAAGGTATAGAATAAAATTACAGAAAAGCAGAAGTTGTGGAGTAAACATAGATAGCAGGGGGCAGAGCAAGGTTAAACTGAGTGACTGCAAAACAACTGTATTTAAAAATTGAACAGAGCCTCAAACATTCAGTGAATGAAGATAATAATACCAATAATTTCACAATTAAATTCGCAAAGACTTAATTGTAAAAGAACATAATGAGGAACGTTCCTCGGGTGCTAAGTTAGTAGATTTGTTGAACAAACAGGGAATTCTGCCTCACTCTTTAGGTGAAATAAAAGACAGTCATATTTCTGTTTTTTTTAAGAGATCCTTGTATAGTTAAATAATGACATAGCTGGCTCTCTACCTGGAAGAAATGAAAGTGATCCCCTAGCTCACGCATCTCACTAAAAATTAAGAGGAATTAAAGACCTCAATACGAAAGTTAGCAATATGTTTGAGAAGAACATCCAGAAAGTGTCAGATGGTGTGGTGCATGCCTGCAATCCCAGCTCTGGATGAGACTGAATTGGCTCTCAGGTGACCTTAGGTACGCGTTCTTGGCTTCCAGCTTCTCTGATGCTTTCTGCAGCACCTGCTGGGGCTCTCAGACTCACCTGGGTGGGTTCCAAATGGAAGGTTTCCTCATGGAACCAAATTCCTCCCTGGCTATTTGAAGAGAGAGACAGAAGCTGTTTCAAGACAAGACATCAGGGAGGGGTCAAGCAGGAGGTGAGAGGATCAAGAATTCAAAGCCAGCCTCAGCAAAAGTGAGGCACTAAGCAACTCAATGAGACCCAGACTCTAACTATCATAAAGGTACATAGATAGATAAAATTACCTTAAATAAGGCAAGAAACTCAGAAGTAATAAGATAGATTGTTCATTAAATAAAAAGTAAAACTTTTTATGGCCAGATGCACTCCTCCAAAACTCAAGGGAGAAACATCAAGTTAGAAAAATCCATTGAAGTGCTGATAACCGTAGAAAATTAACATTTGATAACAATAAACTTCATCAAAATTTGGCTCCATCTCAGAAGTACCAGCCCTTCACTCTGTGTCGTTCCTCAGCAATGCATCTTATTGTTTGCCACCTAAATGGTTGCAAAGGTCCTGGGACACATGCTCTACTTACACTGAAACCACTTTGAGCCTCCAGGGCTGCCTTTGCCCTCACCCCATGGTCATCAAGGACCTGCCTGGCATTGCTGAACTCTCTGTTCACTCCTCTTTTTAGCACAATAAATAAACACATCAATGAATTAATCAAATAATTCAGCAAACAGTCTCAGCAACCTCTCAGCTCTGGGCGAGAGCACTTTCCCAGATTGGATCTCAGGTGACCTTAGGTACACGTTCTTGGATTCCAGACTCTCTGATGCCTTCCTGCAGCACCTGCTGGGCTCTCAGACTCACCTGGGTGGGTTCTGGATGGATGGTCTCCTGATGGATCCTGATTCCTCCCTGGATGTTTGGTGAGAGAGACAGAGGCTGTTTCAAGACAAGACATCTGGAAGGAGTCAATCAGCAGTCCCCAGCCAGATGCAGGACTCCGGAGAAAGCAACCACATCTCCTCCAGTCCAAGGCTGCACAGGCTGGGGAATGAGGGCAGGGGAGATACTTAACAGCTCAGGGTGTCTGCTCATTAGGCACATTTCCAACGCCAAACACATCATTTCCCTGTAGGATGTTGCTGTGCACCAAAAGCAATTTTTCTTACAAATTCTGTCGTCCCTATATATACAGGGTACATGTCAGGGGAATAGTCTTTATTTCTCTTTCTCTTGAAATCTCCTGCCTTCCAGAGATCTAGGCTCCTAACACCTTATCCACGACCAAACCTAAAGTTTTCTCTGAAGTCTAAAGGGACAAGCCTGCCGTGTCTCATGGGTCCCTGAAGCCTGACTTCTTTTTGTGACACAGCCCCTGATATCTCCAGAAAATTTAATATTTCTGTCTTCAACAAGGGGGTGAACTTAGATCCCTTGATAAAAAGCCAAGACAACTAGAATAGTTGGTGTCATGAAACTCTAAAACAATTGAAATTGTCATGTTTTTAACCTGAGTTAAGAGCTGTCACGTAACCATGTATTTATAGGACACTTGATAATTCAAAAACATATACTTAGATCTTTTTATGCACACTGCCTTGTTATTTACAACTTATAAGAATTATCCTTTTATCAATTTTTAAATAAAAGTTCATTCCTGAAATGAACATTACTCTCCTATGTTTCTATATGAATACACAACCAGGGTAACAAGAACAGAAATTTATACTCCCTGTATGTAAGATATGTCAAAGTACATTCTATTGTCATATGTAATTTGAAAGAACAAATAAAAAATTAAAAAGTAGTATTAGAATTTTAACAGAGGTGCCAGCAACACACTAAACATTGGCCATTACAACAAACCACTCAAACGCTTCGAGGCCTAGGAGTGGCGACTAATCCCCATAGAAGTGTAATGGTATTAGATTGGAAGGATCCTAAAGGATGTGAAGGAACTATACAGCCATATGTATTGGATCATCTTCCCGTAAATTTATGGGGACGAGATGTCCTAGATCAATTAGGTTTGACATTAACAAATAACATCAACCAAAATGCACCCACTATTATGGCTAGACAAGGTTTTAGGAAAGGAAAAAGATTAGAAAAACAAGAACAAGGTATAGCAGCACCAATA